TGTGTGTGTGTGTGTGTGTGTGTGTGTGTGTGTGTGTGTTACAAGAGCCAGTAATGTTCTACCCTAGGTTTTCACACAGTAGGGTGCTCAAAATCAAGCTTTATTATACTGATGATATTAAAAGCAAACTGAAGATTTGCTCAAAGAGGACACGAGTAAGTTGTGTCCCACTTCACTTTCGCTAATAATTTAATTGCCATTTTTGTACTCTATACGTACACACTAAAATCCTGTAGTAGTTGTTGCGCGTCTGAATTCTATTACTTTAGAAAAAATAAAAAGTGTGGTAGATCTTTTGGAGAGACAACTATACATTTGTTTTTTGTACTCCAAGCTCCAGCCCCTTCAAGTGAAGGAAAGAGGCTGATTATTGGATTTTAAAATATTTTAATAATTTCATTCCAGTTAATTCAGCGTTCCAGCCGAAGTAGCTCAGGTTGTACACAGAACAAAAAGCAGCAGAAATGCCAAGATTACAGTTAAGGCTCCAGTGTGCAACGGTAACAGACACTACAATGCGCTAAAACAAGCATTTTAAAAGGGAATTCAGTCATTTTCTCTCCACGCCAAGTTGCATGCTTTTGTTTCAACAACTGGACCAAAGAACAGACTATTGTGCACTAATGCAAACTACTTATACGATGGGCATGGTTCTGCTGCCTTTACTCAGGTTGAATAATACCTTGGCACTTACTGAAGTAAACATTTCTCTTTGGAGCAAGTATTCCTCAGCCTCAGTAAGACAGCAGGAAGTTAGAAGAGACAAGCAGAAGGACCATATACTTTGACAAATATTCCAGATTAATGGAGTTTGACACAATACATCTTGCTGACGGAACATAAAACTGGGTTGACCAATGTGCTCATAGAGGAGGGAATGCCTTGTAATTTGACAAGGCATTGCAGTTGCTTGCCTTACTATTATGAATGAGTACTCCAATCAAAGCACTTTCTGCCTTGTATCTCATGCTTATGCATAAAATAAGCAGAGGCTGGATTTGTGCAAGTTTTTACTTAGAATAAATATCTGTAGCAATTAAATCTAAATGGGGCGTTTAGGTAAATTTTCTCTATACAAGTTGAAATTAAAAAAAAATATATAGCAAAAGTTAGTAATAAACTTTCCAATGAGGGAAGGACATTTAGCATATGAATATTAAAATACACTTACGCTATCTAGAAGTTATGACTGAATCTTCTTCAATGTTGATTCAATCTGCAGTAAAAGGAAGAGATTTATAAGACTACGTACCAAATAAAAAATGTGGAAAATGTTGAAACCAAACATTTAAATCTTCCATTTATGTACCTGAATAAATCAGGAATGAATTAATGCTTGCAAGAGGCAAAGAATTTCTTAGGGCAATTTCTTTTATTGGTTAAGTAAGAGGAACATTGAGATGATTCAAATACATCTGGATAAATTTCCACCTAGTTACAAAATGCTTAAGATATTCTTTGAGCGGGTTTAGCCAATTATATGCTCATCGGCAATCCCTTGCAGTCGAGGGATGATAGAACAAAGAGCAATGGTCTCAAGCTGTAGTCAGGGAGGTTTAAGCTGGATATTAGGAAAAAGAAAAAAAGTCTCTCACCAGGAGGGTGGGTGAAGCACTAGAACAGGTTACCAAGACAGGTTGTGAAACCTCCATCTTTGGAGGTTAAGGCCTGGCTTGACAAAGCCCTAGCTGGAATGATCTAGTTGAGGCTGGTCCTACTTTGAGCAAGGGGTTGGATTAGATGACCTCCTGAGGTCCCTTCCAACCCACATTTTCTGTGATTCCATGAGGATGATCATCTTCCATGATTGCCTTATCTGTGGGTCCAAAGATGGCTCACCAGGCCTATCAGGGATTGACAGACTGCTGCAGCTCTGGCACATCTTTCCATGTAGAGTGGGTGGCTCTGGGTTCTTGGTTCAGTCTGACACGCTGCTTCTGCTACTCCCATCTTTCCATCTCCTGTGGTCATCATAAGTTTTTGAAGTATTGAGATCTTTGTAGAAGACTCTTCTTCCATTTGGTGCGGTCCTGAGCAATAATCTCCCGTGAGTTGATATCAATATTGCATTTTTTTCCAAGTTGGCCTCGAGGACATCCTTGAAGTGCTTTCCCTCTTGAGCATACGCCCTGACTGAGGTGGGAGAATAAAACTTGCTTTGGGAGTCTAGAGTCGGACATCTGGATGACATGGCTGGCCCAGCAAAGTTGATGTCAGATGAGCACTGAAGCGATGATCATACTATTTACTTGTAAAATGCCACCAATGTTGCATTGTCTATCCACTGGATTTGAAGGATACTCCATAGGCAGCATTGATGATACTTATCCAGAACTTTGAGGTGTCTCCTGTAAATTGTCCAAGTCTCAGATCTGTACAGTAAGGTGGGGATCACAACTACTTGATAAACAATGAGCTCAGTATCAGATCTGATGTCGCAATCTTCAAACGCCTATTTCCTCAGGTGTCCGAAGGCTGCACTTGCACATTGAAGAAATCCAACATCTCAAGTGTCAAAACACCAGCTTCACAGAATCAAGAATAAACTCATAAGCCAGTTCAGTGAGTTCCCTATTGGAATTAATGACTGCCACATGACACTCCATCTTAAACTGTCAGGGATCCAATATGCCACTAAAATCAGTGCATGTGCCCCAACTGAATACTCTGAACAAATCCAAGGAGGAATTCTACCAACCAGCCATGACCAAATCCTTTTTCTGGCATTCCAGAGGAAGACAGACTTATTCTTCTTGGCGGTTTCAATTCCAGAGTTGGAAGGGACTCCAACCTCTGGAATGGAACCATCAGCAATGCAGGAGTAGGATCGGTCAACTCCAGTGGCATCCTCCTTTTGACCAAATGCGCAGAACACGGACTCGGCATCACCATCACCCCATTCTACAGACATCGAAAACAGACAAAAAGACATCACGGCAACACCTGCAATTCAAGCATTGGCACTTGATTGACACTTCAGTGACATCACTGTTCATCCCTGGGATTGCAAAGATGTCCACATCACCTGAGCTATGCTAGGAGCCGATGACTGCTGAACTGATCACCAGCTCATCCACTCAGTTATGCAATTCAAACTGGCTCCCAAATGATAGGTGCAGCAGAAACAATGCTGACAGAGGATCAACTCTGAAGGACTCAAGGACCCAATCAAGCAAAACCTCTTCCACCAGTGCCTCAATGAAAAAGCCTCTCAAATTCCAATCAACAACAGTAGGAAAATGTCAGCAGTTCTTAGTGTGCCTTCAAAGTCCACCATCATCAGTGCCTGTGAAGAGCAGCTTGAGCTCTCTACCAGGAAACATCATGACTGGTTTGATGAGAATCACCAGAAGATCCAAGAGTTGATCAACCACAAGCAGAAGGCCTTTTGTGCTTGGTAGGACAATGTCAGCTCTAAGCAAAAGAAACTGAATCAGCAAATTAAGGCAGAGGTCCAAAGGAGGACCCCATGATATGAAGAACAAATGGTGGGAAGATGAGGCAAAAGGAGATTCAACATCTGGCTGACATCCAAGATATGCACAGTTTCTCAGTGCCAAAGCCATCTACAGGCTAAGCACTCAGGGACAACCCCCTCAACACTTAACGATGGAAAACACGCAATCAAGGAAAGGGGAGCTATAAATGCCTGTTGGAAGGAGTGTTTAAGACCTTTTCAGTCAAGACTGTTGTTGACAAAAGTGCTCTAAACTCCATCCCACAACACAGTCAGAAATGATCTTGGAATCCCTCCAACTTTTGACCAAGAGGAAAGCCATCAAGCAGATGAAGAATGACAAGGGATCTGGAGCTGATGGAATCCCTGCCAAAAATTTTCAAGCAGTAGGGAGAGGAACTCATATCACAGCTCCACACCCTCATCTCAAGGACCTGGAACAATGAGGAAATTCAAGTCAACCTCAGGGAAGCCATGATTGCAACAATCTTCAAGAAAGACCACAAGTCCAAATGTGGAAGTTATATAGGAACTTGTTGTCCATCACAGGAAAAAATATCATTGCAAGAAGAGTGGAGAAAAGACAGCCTTGCTTAACTCCTGTCTTAACCTCAAAGGGCACATGCAAGTGAGTGTGCATATAGAGTTTGTGGCACCTCAAGCCACACATGGCGCATTCACAGAAGTTTAGGTCTGGGAGGGACCTCATAAGATCATTGGGTCCAACCTCCCTGCTCTGGGCAGGAATGACTGCTGGGGTCAGATAACCCCAGCAAGGTATGTATCTAGAGTTGCAAGAACGTTTTGAAAACCACAAGGATTGTTTTGAAGTTTCTCAAAAAATAACAAGACAATATTATAATGGAAACTGTTAGGTAACCTAAACAATGGAAATGGACATCTCACTGTGACAAAGCATTTCAAAATAAAATGTTCCTTAAATAATCAGTAGTAAACAACTATTGAAGGTAGAGCAATTGTAAATTTGAAGCTTCTCAGAAAGTAACAAGTAAGGTCAAGTCTCTGCTAAATGAGGGATCCATTAACTGGTTCAAAGATATGATTCCACATTTGGTGGTAAAAGAAAGGACATGCTGAAGTAGGTGGTGGTAAAATATGGTAGTAGAAGAGGATGAAAGTGACATGTTGGAAAGCGATAGCCACAAAGCTTGAATGCAGACAAAGGCAATTCGTTTTCAGGAAGCAATCGTGCAAGCAATTATAATTCAGCCTTTTCAAATAGACGCTTATTTTGAAAAAGTGTCAGAGACAAGTTGCAAACAACCCTCACGATTTGCAAAAATTCTTGAGAGTATTCTCTCTGTCAGATTTTCAAGTTAAACAAACGGAGTGCCTTCAAACAAACGAAGGGCAGTCTGGTTTGGGCCTTTAAGTTTATTTTCTCTTGTGCGGCTTGGAAAACACTCTCAGTACACCAAAAGGCAACCACCAAAACATGAACCCTATGAACACCTAGCCTGCAGTGCTGCCAAGAGGATAGCACCCACATGCTGCTGAAGCAGTTGTCACAGGAACAGCTGTGAGTGGGGAGAGGTCAGACCAAGTTCTCCTTGTTACATCCCCAGCTGCACTCCTCCTCTAGGGATATCATATTGGTTGTACCTACCCGCAGCCCTGGAAAAAACAAAAAGGACAGAGGAAAGTGGGGTTGGACTTCCTTATAAATCCCCTGGGCTGAGTACTCCACTTGACACCTACTCTATATAGCAGAGGAGGAGGAAAAAAAGCTGTAAACCAACTGTATCTCCCTCCCCCCAGGATAAAAGCCTTTGGCTGCTGCCAGCTAATACAATTAATTTTAGAGGAAAAAAATTAGCCATATTAGCTAAAGCTGAGCAGAAGGCAGGTCAGGGCAAAACCTTATATAGGCCAATTTGTTCAGAAAAGCATGAGCACTTGTAGTTTACAGACTACTTTGTCAGACACTTGGCATCTGATGAAGTAGGCTGTCATCTATGAAAGCTCATGCCTCTAAATGAGTTGAACCCTGCTGTGCCTTCATTAATGAAGTCAAGATTCAGAGTTCAAACTTTGTGCGATAAATCAGAGAACTCTTTCCATCACCGGAAGTCATACATCTCCAGAGACAGAATTAAGGTTTATGAACAACAGTGTAAGATTAGAAAATGTCTCAGTGCCTGACTTTGCAACCCAGCTAATAGCCTAGTAATTCATTTTGTTATGTAAAATGAGATGGCACAGGTGCGCGCAAAATGTTAACTGCACAACACTGCAGAAACATGGTCTGCCAGCTTTCCAACACCCTAATCACCTGAGCAGCACCAGCCCTAGTCCCCTTTCCTATTTCTCCCTCTTCTGTTCCCAGCTGGGAACTCGCCTCTTTTTTTCCTATCACTACTCCTCAAAATAAAACTGTACAAAAGTGCAGGCATGGCTAAGATTCAGCTTTGCTTCAAAAAGTTTTCTTGGGTTTTTTTTTTTTTGGTTTTTTTTTGTTTTTTTGTTTTGGTTTTTTTTTGTTTTTGTTTTTTTTGTTTTGTTTTTTTGTTTTGTTTTTTTTGTTTTGTTTTGTTTTTTTTTTTTTATTATTATTACACACAATTCAATGTATTAAGGATGCTGGCTAAATGCCATGCTCCTGAAAACAGTGTAAACACACATACACCCATAATATAAATAAGTTTGAAAAAAGTAACCCAACCACAAATATTATACTAAAAAGAGCCCAGCAACATAAAAACAATATAAATATAGTAGTAAATCAAGACATGAATCTATAATATTGTTGTACACAGATCTACAATCAAGACAATAAAATCAAGTCTAATGTTCAAATGTATCATTCACATCTATAATACAGGATATTTAACTGTAATTACTACACACACAGATGTATAGAACATGTCTCCAATTAGTTATTTTCAGATATAAAATACTTCAGATTTTTTTTTAATATTTTTCTATTAGTAAGACATTTTTTCCTTCTGAGCCTAATAAAGGTACTGTTTTGTACAAGCTGAGAGATAGAAGTACCAATAATTTAAATTAAACATCTCTTCAGAAATATTCTGTACTTCTCCCCCCCACCCCGAAACTAGAGCAAATACAAGAAACGCAATGGTGCAGTAAGTTTTACTGGCACTCACATGGGAGGCTGTCTGTATCTCTAAAGCACTGACACTATTACTAATGTGACCAAACTTGTGCTAATCTAAAAGTCTTATACTACAGAACACACCAGACATACAGACAGTTTGTGCAAAACATCTAGATACTGATTTCAATTGCTCACAAGCTGACATTTCATTTTTGGAAGTCTATGCCTTGTTTATCAGTTCAAAAGTTTTTTGAAATCATTGTCCTTGATGCTTCACTGATAATTCTCAAGGCAAGCCAAAAAGTCATGCCACAGTACAACAGTTTACTCGGTATTCTCCATGTATACTAGCAAACTCTTCCCTCTTTCCTCACAATTGAGTAGCAAACATTCACAAATCGGTCTCAAAATTAAGCTAGTTTGAGTAGGCTTAATATTTACTTTATTTTTCTAATCTTTGTATCAGTTTCAAAAGTGTTCTGTAATATAGTTAAATGTTACGTTACAAATTCTTTTGCCTACAAGCTACATATTTTAGACAGCAAAGCAGACCTGGTTTCTGAGGCAGGAACTGTATGTTCACAGGAACAGCAACTCACATTTGTGGGGCACTACTGTAATCTGAGGAAGAACATCCATTGCTGCTGTCTTGTCACTTTTACTCAACCTGACTCACGGAGAGAAAAATCTAGTGGTTCTACTAGTTTTAAAAATAAGGCTTAATTTGTCACCAGCCTCTGTCTAGACTAGAATTACTTGCCTAATTCTGGTTTATAAGGAAAAGTAAGTGATGCAATTACTTATGTGAGCATGACCATCTGCAAGATGTAATACTATACAGTATTTTCAAATCAACCCTAGGTTTGATAGTCAAGTAAAAGCGTCAGACAGATTGAGAGACACATCTCTATTCTCTTCTAGCAAATAGATCCTTAGAACTAAATCTAAAATAGGGCATCCAGGCTGGGGAAGGGGAAAAAAAAAAAAAAAAAAAAAAAAAAA